GGTTGCAGTTTCCCCCCCTCCCTGTTCCATTCGTGCGGATTCACAATTCGAACCGATCGGAACACTACCGGCAGGAAACTCTGACACCGAGAGGGACACCGGGACACACCCCAGCGGACCCCCTGCCTGACTCTCAGATTGCGACGGACGAGTCACCGTGATCGACTCTGCCTCACCTCTTCCCGCACTCTCAGGTTGAGGTGGCTCTGACACCACGATCGACTTTTGCTCACCCTGGTCTGAACTCTCGGACTGGGGTGGGCTGGACGCATTCACAAATTCAGCATGCAACTCATTTTCACTCGACTTACTTTCTCGCAATTGTGAGGAAGGTTCACCGGTCGCTATTGTCACTTCACAAGAGACCTCTTTTATTTGACTCGGCTTCTCCACCCTCTGTACACTCTCTTTGACCCCACTTTTCACCCCAGGACGCTCCTCGTTGATTGGATCCTCATCCCTCTCAAACGTGTACTCCTTGGGCTGAACTCGAAGAAAAATTTCTTCTGACTCTTTAGGGACATTGATCAATGCCCCGGCTATTTTGATTGGGGGGGATTGTCGGTCGATCCCCCCCCCCTTGGAAGTTTCCCAAAAACTCTCGACATTTAACTCAGTCAGGGCACTGTGCGAAAACCGTTCCCCGTTTTCCGCAGACTTGACAATAACTATTCGGCTCTTTAGCCTGTCTCTCAGGACATTGTGCCGAAAAATGACCTTGACCCTGACACGTAAAACACACTCGCTGTGGGCACTGATTTGATCGGTGTCCCACCGCTTGACACGCGTTGCAGACCCCAAGAAAGGGACGCTGCTCAGGCATGGACGGTACCGCTGGCCTTTTCCAGGACGTGCTAGGCTGTGCTTGTTGGTCCCACGCAGGTCTCTTCGGTGCCAGGACAGGTGGTCCCGTCTGAGCATTTCCAGATTTGGATCCCACAGGCTTAAACGCATCGACCGATGGCTCCTCTTTGAGATCAATCTTGAGCTTGGACTTTCTTTTCTTCGTCGCTTTCTTTTTGGACTTAATCACCCTTGTCTCCTCTGATGACTCTGAGGCTGATTCTTCCAACAAGGCATCAACCTTGGCTCCACGTTGCGCGGTCTTCGGCGCCGCAAGCGGAACTCGCATTTTATCCTTAGTTGGGGGAGGGACATAGCGTCGATCCAAATCGCGTATTCTCTCGTATTTCCTCAGAGTACTCTCTAATTCATGGAGAGTACTGATGTCGTACGCTGACACATAGCGACGATACTCTGGGATCAACCCACGATACGCGACTCTGAGCATTCTTTCCGGTGAAATCGGATGCTTGAAATGATCCGTGATCATTTTCAGACTGGTCAAATAAGCAGAGATCCTCTCCCCTTTTGCCTGGGTACGAGCCTTAAGCTCGTCCCAAATATCCTCGACATCCAAAGGTACCAGAAATTCTCGGAGGAATAATTTCTTGAAGGTTTTCCAGGACTGTATTTCCTCTCGCCGGGTTCTAAACCAACGTCCGGCGACCCGACGCAAGACACAAGGCAAGGCTCTTACTACCCTCGACTTGTTCGTGGCTGAACACTTTCATGACGCTGGGCATTTCTCGGTTGCTCTACAGGGCCAAAGACACAGTCATCCGGTACATGATCTGAGTATTGCCTCCCCCGTCGTGACATATTTTCCTCTCTTGGCGTAAACATCCCTCTTGCTCGACGATACCATTCTTCCCACTCCGGAGGACGTAGGACTCTTCTCATCTCTTGCGTTAGGGGTGAATCACGCAGACGTTGGTCATAACCTCTCGTTTCTGGAACAACATGCGCTTGCTCTGCCTCAGGACGTCGAAGATTAGGATGTTGTGTCTCATTCCGCTGTGAAAATGAACGTTGCGTCTCTGGACAATGGTATTCAGGACGAGAAATCTCTGGTCGCTGAACCCCCATAGTCGATCGGTCGCGACTTCTCATATTCGTTTGGATACAATCATTACACGACGAACCCGTGCACCAACTATTCGGACAATGACTTCTAGCTCTATCCGACGCAAACATCCGACTCGGTTCACTCCTCGGTATTCTCTCCGAAGAGTTCTCAACATTTGTCCTTGGGATCGACTCAAAATACAATCGGTCATTCCTATTAACGGATGCCTGATTGTCTCGACTTACGCGGATATTGGTTCCTGTCCGAGAACTGACCGGTGGGCCTGCTCCGGCTTGACTTGGATTAGGTGAACTGACCACGACTGTTGGAGCAGCTATACTCCCCGCTGGCAACGACCAAGTCACACGAGTCGCTGTACTTGAGGTCCCCTCAATCGTAGAATATACCGATGTCGTAGTAGGAATGCCTCCAATTTGATTCGATTCTGTAGGCAACATTACAGCAGTGGTAACTGGTAGAGCCGCATTCGTTTGGCCCTCCATAATTGGGACTACTGGTTCTTGACTCGCGGCCCCATTCGCTGCCCGGTTCTCGCCCAGATTGCCTTCCAACACCGTATTGTCTGCCAATCTATCGCTATCACTAGAGACAACCCATCTCTCACCCATTTGCAGACTCTGGTTATATGCATCCTCCAAGGCTTCTAACGACATTGCTCCGGCCCCATCTATAGCATCGGACCAAGGAACCTCGACAACTTCGCCCATTAATATCCTTATACGCAGTCTTAATAATCGCTCCCGTAACGTTCGCGCACTTCCTCTTGTACTGCAGCTATTTAGTTCCAATTCCCCCACTACTTGTATAATAGTCAATCTTTCAATAGCTTCCCAACACTGGACTACATCTCGATTTTCCAGCATTAAGTTAAACAGTCGCTGATAATTTTCCATGGCACAATTTCGGTTATTGACGCAAAAGCACAAGAATTTACACGTGTCGTTACGACACGGTCAAGACATTAATATCAATAATCTACCGAAATGTCCGCCCGCCAGTCAACCTCGACACTCAACGGACAACACAAAATAACTGGCTTAATAAAAAAAAATTATTGGAAAAAAAAAAAAAAAATTCCGATAATTTTCATCTATTAAAATAATCCAACAATTTAAAATTTTAATCCCGCCTCAATTTCATAAACACACGAATCACATCATCGTCATCACAAAAAAAAAGAAAAATAAATAAATATTAACGTCAAGAAAAAATAAAATTTCAATAACGATTATTTCGTGACGCTACCTTCCGACATTTTCCATTGGCGCGGGGAGTAATCAGCAATTGCCGCGCAAATATGACGTCACGCGGGAAAAACTTCTTCCGGCACGTCAACTCAATCTCGATGTCACTATCACGCTGAAAAATCTCGCTTTTTCACGAAACATTGGACATCCAAAGAAAAATTGAGCAAACATTTGCACGATCTCGACAATTTCTTCACTCACGAAATATACTCTGATTAAATTTCCCCACGGATTAAAATGCACGAATAACCTCACATAAAAAAAAAAATTTTCAATTACAGGACTTATCAGAAATCTCGTCCATATAATAGAAATCACACTTTAAAATTCACGCGAAAATACTTGTTCACGCTCGAATGTGACTTGAATTTTCCCTTAACGCGTGGAAAATTCCTGGACTTGTACGACCGCGTCGCTCCTTACGCCCGCGCGCCGAACGCAAGGTCCCATGACGTCACTTCCGAGCACATGTTCCGAAATATTAAAATCGCACTATTAAAATTCGAAATTTCGCGAAAAATCAACTCACAACACTAATTCTCGACACATAAAAATCTCAGGGCTCATAACCTGTCACAAAAACGATAACATAACCCCCTCGTATAGGGTTGGACTTTAGGAATAATTCTCTTCCTCTAGACAAATACACAATTTATCAAGAAAAATCCAGCCTCGTTCGACCAACAATAAAAGTTCCCCACCAGGGATGCCAATTATAACGATGTATTATTAATTCGACCGGAATTAATCGGCTTCTACACGTTAGTGAACTCTAGTTACTTAAACTTACAACTTTACCAAAATTTCCGGGATCGGTTATTGTTGATCTGCACGTGAAGCCAATGTGCTAGGCTGGACCCAAGACAAAATAATAAATACTCACCAGTCAACAGTAAAAGCCAAGACTCAAACGCCAGACCACGAGGACGCCGGTTCTAGTTAATAAAATCAACGCCACACTTTCACTGATAAAGCTATTTATTAAACCAAGTTAACTTATTTCGGCAATGCCGATAACAGGAAATATAACCCTCGTTACACACTAAATAAGTTTCTTATATAAAATTAATAAATTGAGGACTACTCGACGCGACTGTTTTCCGGACTAGGTTTCAGGGAGGCTGCAATGCTACAAGTGGTTCCTTCCTCTAAGTGTCTTCGTCAACTAGGGACAGTTCTTGTCCTTGATCGTGCTCCCTCGGGTAACCTCGTGAACTTACGCACTCACGTGCGCAAATACCAAAAATGGGTCAGTGTCAAGGCGACACACACTGACCTAAAAGGCTCAGTGCCTTGACTAACTAACAACGGGGGGGAAAAGGGGGCATGACTTAACGTTTCTTTATTAATTGACGAATCCTTCGTCACAAGTGTAACAACTGTCCCCATTTTTTCTTATTGCCCACATAGCACGGCTTCTTGCTGTGAGGTAACTGTAAGGATATCTGTAGGGTTTGTAAGGTTACCGTGTAAGCCTACAGTAAACTTGAGGTTAACTATGTTATTACTGTTTGTAAATAATAATTTCGAAACTGTTTAAAATTTAATATTCTTAACCCAGTGGGCACACTTGTTCAAAAGACGTCCTAAAAATGTTCTATGTCTTGGTTGTTAGATTTCTTTAAGATGTCCTTTTCAATTTCTTTTAAACGTTTTTCGAACATCTTTTGGACCGGTCATAGAACCGAAACGAGTTAAAAGCTTTATCGCGGGAAACAAATTCCAGCGTTATTTATAATAAATATGACTGTTAGTCAAAACAATATTAAACTTCATTTATCATAACTTTGAATTAAAAATACTTTAAAAATAATCTTTTGTAGATTGTCTGTGCTGGAGTAGTTCTCAACAGTGATTTATATTATAAAGCGCTAAGCGCACAAACTATAAGTTGTCGAGTGCGCAAAATTGCAGCTGGCTACTGGTCGGAAGACAATAAAAAAATAATTGCGGCCAGGAAGCCCCCAGGTGTAAATGAAAAAGACTTTCTTCAAATTTGCACTCGGGACTACCACAATATTGACCGTAAGTATTTTATAGTATGATTTTCTTGTTTATGAATGTTATTAAGGGTATGTGGGCAAAGGAAGTTTTTTGTCGTTTGAAACTTTCTCTGAAATAAAAAATTATTTCAGGTTAAATTTTTGGAGAAATGATTTTTTTGTGTACAAGGAATCGTAAAAGGAGGGATGAGCGCTACGCGGCCGGAGAACTAGTGTGGAAAAAACAACGCGTATTGTCCTCCGCGGAAAGACACTATATGGCTAAACTGGCCGATGCGTATCATGGGCCATTTGTCATCACAAAACGTATTTCTAACGTAGTCTATGTGTTAGAAGACCTACAGGGACAATCCTTGGGAAAATTTTCTGTGCAAGATTTAAAACCTTACTACGCTCCACTCAATGATATTCCTGGTGAAATAAACATGTCCGTTACAGAACCTCCAAGTAAGTTACAGTTATTATGTATGTCCTTAATGTAAAGTATTTTATGTTGTCGTTCAAATGTCTAACCAGATTCCAGTTTTGCAACCGCAGCCAGAAGCACCACAAAATCCTTGGTCGGTCAAGTGTTTACTTTAAGTTTCAATCCCAGATCAGTTACAGTCCAACCTTGTGCCAGGGAAATTTAAGTTACAGTATTAAACATCCTTTATAGTTCCAGTATATTTTGTGATATAGTAATCAAACACCGAAATGGGTACCATCCTCCAATGTTACAGTTTGTCATCCTGTGTCGTCTAGGTGATGGTCAATTTCTAATAATCAAACACAAGTTACAGTCTTATGAAATTACAGTGTAAGATGGAGGCAGACAGCACCACCCCACCGGAGGAGGACTTCAACATCGAAGTCCTCAATGTCTCTAAATCGGACGAGGAGTGGCACAACGTGGAGGAATGGGAGGAAATCGTACTGTCGGATCCTGACGATGAAGTCCAAGTCCCCGCTAGTCCCAGCCCCTCGACCAGCTCAAGCTCCTCAAGCATTGAGATACTTGACTGGCTGGAAGCCGTAAACGGGGATATGGACATCGAGGAGGCACCTCGAGCACCGTCACCATTCGAATCCGATGACGAAACAGTGGAGATGGAAGATCCACGTATCTCCACACCTCCACCGTGGAACCCGCCACCACCAGAACGGAACGGACCTGGAGGGATTCCTGGACCACCTGAGGAAGTTGAGGTGAGGCTGGAGGAGGACCCATTCTGGGACCCGATCCGGCCGTTCATTCCTTCGCTGGTCTGGTTGAGCGGTCAACTCAAACGACTCCCCTGACTCCCGCACCAACAGCACTACCATCGCCAGCACCAACATTGCCGGAAGCAACTGAAGAGCCCCCGGCCTTGATGGAGTTGGACCCAGTATCCTCGGCTTCGGAGGATACACCGGAAACTGTGGATCCGTTCGGACCCTTTCCGAAGCCCAAAGTCCGGCCAGAAGAACCCCAGTGGTGGTCAAGTCACTCCGAGGAGAGCTACCACCACGAGCGACGCTACAGAAGTCCAAGCCGCCGAAGCAGGAGTCGCAACGGCAGACTCAAACCCACACCTGGGACGAGTCGCAGCCGTCCAGAGGAGCCGACCTGCTTCGTCCGTTGGGTTGATGACAGTTCCGAAGACGAAGCACCTGGAATGTCATCGTACCCTGCTCCAGCTGCACCGTCTTCCCCGCAACGTCTGCTGGAACTGTCATCAAGAGGGGCACAATTTCAGCAGCTGCACACAATCCAGGCGGAGGTTCTGCCAAATGTGTGGAAGACACGGACACACAACCCGAACGTGACCACGCTGTAGCAGCAAATGGGAGGCGATGGGACCGTATGTCCCTAGATACGGTACCAACATCCCTCGCGACCAAGACCATCATCGCCACCGCCCATATTAAGGGTAAAGATTTCATTTCCTTAATTCATTTCACTTAATTACTCAATTCACTTTATATTTTACTTCATTTCACTTTATATTTTACTTCATTTCACTTTATAATTCAATTAATTCACTTATTTCACTTTATAATTCACTTATTTCACTTTATAATTCACTTAATTCACTTTATATTTCACTTAATTTCACATATTTTACTTATGTTTAACTTGTATTTCACTTATTGTTAATTTATAATTTCACTTAATTTTTGAAATATTTCACGTAAATATTATTCACTTAAATTTTTTATTAAGCTAATAATTGTTAAATTGTCGACGATTTTAGACCAAAAACGTCATTGTCATTTACTGTGTAAAGGGGGGAGAGTATGATAGAATCATTACACAAAGCAAAAAAAACAACTTTGTAAGGACTCATGGTGAGAAAAACGAGTTACAGTTAATGCTACAGTTAAAATCGGTTTATAACAATATCATTTTTTTATTTTAATCACAACATTTCCTGTATATCGCTTTTATTAGATACAGGAATATTTAACTTTTCACTCCGTTATATATTTTTTCTCGTGTGTTAATTGAAATGTGAATCTTTGCATCATCTCCGGCCTTAATTATTTAACTTTTCACTCCGTTATATATTTTTCTCGTGTGTTAATTGAAATGTGAATCTTTGCATCATCTCCGGCCTTCATTATTTAACTTTTCATTCCGTTATATATTTTTTCTTGTGTGTTAATTGAAATGTGAATCTTTGCATCATCTCCGGCCTTAATTATTTAACTTTTCACTCCGTTATATATTTTTTCTCGTGTGTTAATTGAAATGTGAATCTTTGCATCTTCTCGGGTTTTAATCTATTTCAACATCTCTTGTATATCGCTTTTACAAGACACAGAAACCTTTAACTTTCACTTCGTTATTTTTTTTTAACTTCTTTCATTTTTACCACCCTTCAATCAAATAACCTTTAACTTTTTCACTCCATTTCATTAGTCTTCAGCCATTCTATTTTTGAATAAAATTTCAGTTGGAAAGTTTCCCATTCAGTTTTAAATAACCAGTTAAGAGTTTAGTCAATAATTTCTAGATCAGTCTTAGGTTTTTCGAAACATCACTTCCCTTGTTGGTAAGAGTTTAAAATTTTGTTTATCTCCAGAGCACTAGCTCGGTACCGGGAGTGCACCTTGTATAATAGTCACGATTAATAGTTTTTGAAAAATATTTTGGCATTTTTGGTTAAAGTTCAGTTAGTTGGTGTCCCGATTTTAGAGAAATAAAGTAAATAACATTTTTTTGTATCTTCAGTAATCTTTTTCGGTTGGGGCGAGTTGTGACGTTATTTTTTGTAATTGACGTCACAATTGCACCACTCGCTTTTAAAATTTTGAATCATTCTATTTTTGAGTTTCGCTATAAATAAAAATTTGATGTTTACTGCATTTGAGAATTTCCTATACTTGACACAAGTCCAGTTGAAAAACTGGCGCTCCATTTTTAAGGAATTCTGCATTAATTTAGTTTAAGTTAGTTTTAGGTTGGCAGGCTTTGTCGAATCTCCGGTATGACAGGTTCCAATATTCAAGTTATCGCGGGCTTGGGTATTGGAAAAGTCACTTAGTAGTATTAGTAACTCAGAATTCTGGGAGAAGTAAGGTAGGAAAAGGTTTTGATTGGTTTAATTTAAAGAAAATCGTTGCGTCATCTAGTGTCAATTTAGAGTGAATTGAAAATTTTAGTTTTAAGAACACTCTCTTGCCATCCAACCCCCATCGAGTCAACATGTTTAAGTTTCAATAGTTTTCGATCATGTTTTTCAAGTTACAGTCGGTTGTGGTTACAGTTACATTAATAAATTTTAAATTAATCCTAATAAAACATTATTAAGGTTTAACAACAATAAGTTCAATTTACATCAAACTATTTGCAATAACTCGTTTTTCTACCATGGATCCAACCAGCATCACGCAACATAACTGTAAGTTAATTTTTATATAATTGTTTTGTGAGAATCTTCATTATTCGATTAAATTGTTATTACCATTGCTATAAAATAATAAAGAAAATTTCGTAAGAGCGATTTAAATTGTCATATAGAAGTTAATTAATGTCAATGATTTATTTAATAAAATGTAACATTTCTTTTATTTCTAATTTTTGTTTATGAATTATTTATTGTTATAATGAACTCTCTTATTATAAAAACCCATCCCTCTCTCCACGACCTGCATAACTAACTAGCACCGGCACGTGCAGAAGACTTAGTTAATAATTCTTATTGGTCGATCTTAATTAATATGTTATTAGTTATAAGTTTAAGATTTGTTTATTTGAGACTTGGATTATAGTTTAGTCCGGTTGACAATACCGGCGATACAAAAGTTTTCTGGCGCCCTTCCATACCGGGGATCATCCATAAGAATAAAAGTTAAGTCGCACAGTAACGTTTTGCTTATTTTGTTATTTGATTTTTCTAAGATTTAAAGTAACATAAATTAAGTTTCAGAATCGAGTCATTTTACATTAAAGTTTGAATCCAATTTCGTCCAAGTTAGTAATTTTGATAATTAGAATTATTTGTTGTTTGTTATAATAAAATTTAAAAATCAAGTTTCAGAGTAATTTTAGAATCGAGAAAAATACGTTACAATATATATATATATATATACATATCCCACAAAGCACGGCTTCTTGCTGTGAGGTTACTGTAAGGATATCTGTAGGGTTTATAAGGTTACCGTGTAAGCCTACAGTAAACTTGTGGTTAACTAAAAACTTCCGCCTTTCATTAAGCTTACACAGTAAAGCTAAGGTAATCTTACTCAGTAAAGTCGTGGTAAGTTAACGTAGTAAGCCTACACGGTAAGGTTGCTGTAAGCTTCTTTTTAGATTACTGTAAGGTTGATGTAAGGTTGCTGTAAGGTTACTGTAAACATAGAATGTTGTTAATTAATAAATTTTATTAGTATTACAGCAACCTTACAGTAACCTTACAGGAAGCTTACAACAACCTTACCGTGTAAGCTTACCACAACGTTACCATGTAAACTTATCACGACCTTCCTGTGTAAGCTTACTCTAAGGCTGAAGTTTTAAGATGACCTCAAGTTTACTGTAGGCTTACTCGGTAACCTAACAAACTCTACAGATATCCTCACAATAATCTCACAGCAAGAAGCCGTACTATGTGGGATTGTTTTTATATAATTTTCAACGAATTTACTTTTTTAGGATAACGGTGAAGAGGAAAACATTCTTGATGATCAGAGATCTACATTTCTATACTCCACGGCCGATCTTACTAGCTTCTTCGGCAAATTCACTGCTATCATTAAGAGAAGAATACTCGGAAAAATTAATTAGATTAATTATAT